CTTTTTATTTTTCTTCAGAGGGGCAAATGAAAACTCATAAAGTTGAGTAAATGAACGAAGGGCACAGAAGGCTGAGATATGGTTTCCTTGTGACTCAGCTTCACCAGGAACACACCATGTGTGTGTTCACTGACATCTTATAAAACAAGACTGTCTTTTCAGGACTGTCTGAGATCTCAGGGCCTCAGGTCATTAGCAAAGGGTATGATTTAGATCTGGGGGCTTAGAGAGTTGTTACTGGAAGAGAAAAGAAATATTTTCTTGGATATGTACTTTTAGTCACTGGAAATATATTACTCATCCTCTGCCAATTCTCTGGGAGACACGGCAGCCTTCTCTCAAGCTCTCTTCTGAAACATCCTGAGTCCCAGTATGCCTATATCTTGGCCAAATGACCACTCAGTATACTTTGCACTTGATCTTAGCCAAAAGGCCAAGAAGCGATACTTTGCAATCTAAGAGTGATTTCAAATTTGAGTATCTGAAAGAAAAGCCATGGGGAAATCCCAGAGATAATGACAAAAGAGGTTTAGTGGAATGCTAAGAGAAAACCCGTGCAATTGCTGCAGTTTGTCTAAAATTTGAATCTCTGGGTGCTAAGAGCGTGTTTTTGAGATTACAGTGCATTTAGGGGTACACACAAAAGTCACCAGAACAAGTCTTTCTGTATAATCAAATTTGTCGGTGTAGTCACTACTTATAGTGCCTCTCCTGACCAGCTACTAATTGCCCCAGAACAGAACTCTGAACCTGTGGAGATGTTTATGACTCCAGGAGTTCGTGAAGTAGAACTGCAAAAAATATTCCAGCAGACTGTTCGGCAGGGGCCCTGGAAAAGAATTAGCTGAAATAGCCCTATTCAGACACACCAGTTATAAAACCAACATCCAAAGAGATAAAATATAATGTATATACACAAGGAAATAGAGGCGTATGCGTGCGCACACACCCTTAAGATAACAGAATACTGCCTCTTCCAGGATTTTGTGTCAGAGTTTCTTGATTTGACATAAATATTTGACGTATGCCCTATTTCTTATTTTACCATCAAATCATGCATGTCACTTGTTTACCCCTTTCTCACTGATTATTTTTAAATTTCGAGTAAAGACCATTGACTTAGGGACAGGAGATGCACTCACATTAGTAATATACCTTCCCTTCCCTGTGCCTGTTTTCTCCTCTATAAAATGGAAACAGATATTCTTTCAGTGGGTATAAAGGAACAACTCCAGGTAAGGAATTCAGAACAGGACTTGGTAAATAATAAGTACTTGGTAATTCTTAGTTTTTTTTAAAATATACTCAGAGAAATAATTCTCAGAGCTCTGTGGGGATTAAATGTGACAAGCGATAGTGGAGAAATAGACACTAGTTAGCGGGCTGCTGCCATAACTAGGTGACAAATGACAGAGGCTTAAGTTTGAGTCAAAGCAGTGGAAATAGTGAGTAGTTGAAATCAGAATCTATTTTGAATGTTTTGCCAACAGAACTTACTCACAGAGAGGAAGTGTGGAGTGAGTGAGAGTCACATGGACTCCACGCTGCTAGTGTTTTTCCTGAGAACAGCATGGCTGTTGGTGCATAAAAGGACCAAGAGACCAATGGCTGTTCTGCTTGGAGGTGTTTAGTAAATATCCAAATGGGGGTCAACATACAAGTTAAAAGTGCTTCAAAGTCTGGAAAGTACATTTCTATCTAGGGAAGACAATGATGATAGAGGAAAGAAAGGCCCAAGGACGGCATGCTGAGAATGTCTAGTTTTAGAATGTGATGGAGAAGGATGAATAAGCAAGACAAACTGGGGAGGAAAAAAATGCAGGAGCAGGTCCCAGAGAAGTCATGTCAAAAGCAGAGCGCGTGTGTCAAGTACACCTGAAAGAATGAGAAGTTGAAGGTAGAGATGTGAGTATTGGCTATGTAGAGATAACTAGTGATTTCTATGTAGAGATATGTAGAGATAGATAGTTAGTTATAGATAGTTATAGTTATATGTAGAGATAGATAGTTATCTATGTAGAGATAACTAGAATGAGAAAATCCTGTAATTTCCATAATGAGAAAAGTCTCCATGAACTGGGAGAAATGATGGAGCAAAATTAATAGAACTAAGGATATTTGAGGGGTAAGAGAACTGACGAATCATAACAGATTTTTACGAGTCAGATAATTAATGGTGTTGATCTACGATTTGATTGTGTGAGTGAAACTATAGTTAGACTTGAAAAGGTCTAACTGCGAGACAAGGTACTAATACTCAGAGAAAGAAAGTGACTTGGCTAAGGGAACGAGCTCAGCAAAAGCAGAATTTTCAAGGACTCCTCAGTTCTTTACACATGGGAGTTGCAGCCTGACCTGTGAGGAAAAGTGGAGACAGCATGACATCAGACGTAATGCTGAAGGGATGGCCCATTTTGATCGTGCTTCGACTGTGTGACTCAGTTTGAATGCTGGTTTAAAAGCATCCTTTCAGGGCTGGGGATTTAGCTCAGCGGCAAAAGCGCCTGCCTGGCAAGCGCAAGGTTGTGAGTTCGGTTCCCGGTACCGGAGAAAAACCAAAAAAAAAATAAAAAAATAAAAAATAAAAGCATCCTTTCAGCATGAGAAAAAGGAAGGAACTATTTCAAAAGAAGAAAAAACTACGTAGCCCAAGCTGTAATAGAGAAAAAAGAAGGGAGTTGCAGTGGAGAGTTGCGGGCCCGGTGAAATACTAGAAGCCCATCAAAGAGCAGCTGATGCACCCACACACTCTAGAAATTCATCTTCCACTTGTTCAAGAGAAAACTCAGTCTAATGAAGTCCAGGATAGAAATATCTTCAAAAAAAAAAAAAAAAAACAGTATGTTCAAACTACTTTTTATGAGAAATAGGAAGTGATATTTTCCAGCAAGTTTAATTTTGGTTCTAGTGATATCTTCTTTTAATAATCAGTAACGGCATAATTATAATCAAACCATGCTTATATTTCACTTTTGGAAAAAGGAAATTATTTTGTCCTTACTTTTCAAAAAGGATTTAATGAGATCTCCTTGTAATTAATTTTAAAATTGTCTTTATTTCTAGCTCTGTCTTTAAATAGACTGGGAAATAGATATTCTCAAAACCCTTTTGCCAGAATATTTCTGAAAGCCAAATTATTACATAAATAGAATTTCATAATCTCCTTAAAACAAAAAAAAAAGGTAAGATTTTAAGGCCTATAATATAAATTGTTTGTACCCACAGAGATATCTAACCTTAATTATAGTTAGAGAAAATTTCCCTTAAAACGTTTCCCTCTTGGAATCAAAAAATTGGAAATTATGTGTGTGTGCATGTTAAGGGATAAGAAGGATCACATTTCATGACCACCTGACCAGCTGAAGACAGGGGGAGAAACATAGTTCGATGAAACAGACTGCTTTTAGAAAACTCCAAAGTGACAAGAAATGGGCAGTTCTGGTCTAATTGAAACTCTGCTTCAATCTATATCTAGCACTTTGCTTTCTCTTCTTTTTTACTCCTTCCGCTTTCCAACTTTACAATAATTTGTGGTGGACATATCATCCTGTCACTATCATACCACAAATTCTTTGTGTACTAGATCTGTTTTATTATATTATATCAAATGCCCAGTTCCTGGAGAAAGGTAAATATGCAATCAATTGTCTGAGCAAATGCCTGAATTAAGTCCCAAATTTGTGGCATAATATGTGGATGCCTTCTATGACTATTTTCCTCTTAGCTGTTTCTAGTAAACATCATAATCTCTGAGCCTAAAAATAGATTTATAGATTATTATTCTGTTGCTAAGGTTTTAAAGTTTCAAAATTAAAGAAAATATTATCTAATCTTATAAGTGTACCAGCCTTAACTTATCGCTTAACACTGCTACATTTAGCCTTGACCTTGAACAACAAGGCTGGTACGTTTAGTCTATTATTTGAGAATGTAACTGTCTACCCAATGTATCTTCCCCATGTATTTATATTTCCCAATCTCTTCTGCAACTGAATAGGGCCTTGCAACTGTGTTCTCTCTGATGGATGGGAGGGGAAGTAGTAATAGTCATTTTCAGACATGATCTGTAGAAAACTTTTCAAGATGGACTGGAAACGTAGCTTAGTGGTAGAACACTTGCTTCATATGTGCAAGACCCTGTGTTCAATCCCCAGCATGGAGAACCAAACCAAACAAAGCATAACATGAAAACATCCTCTGAAGTTGCCTTCATACTCTTTCCTGAATTCCAGTCCAGCTGAAAGGAATGGTGACCCCCAGAGGACCCCAATCTGAAGATGGCACTATCGCTCTCCCCTGAAGTCCATGAATGATTATATAAAGCAGAGTCCTCCCTGCTGACTAGAAACATCCACCATGTGCTGTCTTGTAGGAAAAAAATAAATTTTGATTTATTTTGAGCCATTACATTATGTCAATTCCTAGTTCATATAGGTAGCATTTTTCATATAGGTAGCACTTCTAGGCAGTGGGTTAGACCTTCTCATCCAATTTATATTATGAAATACTAGATTTCAATCTACATTTATTCATCTCTAATGCATCAGGTATCACTTATACATTTCACATAGTATCACACCCCCAAGACTTAGTCATCTCGAAAGCCCTCCCTATAAGTATATGATTACAGGAGACATCTGGATATAAACCATAAGAGATAGTTACTAACATTTTTTCTATCATACAAATAAGGAAACTGAAGCTGGAAGAAGTTAAGAAATTGTCCCAAGATCATAAAGTTAATAAATATTGGAGGAGGAACAAAATATAAGTCAACGATAAGTCCAAGTCCACAAGATCAACTGCTAAGTTATACCGTGGTGGTCATATATGGCATGCTTTATGCCACACAAGAAGCACCTCCAAATGCAATTGGTACAAGAAAAGATGACGCCAGCAAGATACCTTTGGGCTAACAACTCTGATTTGGGTACCTCATGTGAATTCTAACAGGTTTGCTGTACTGTGACTGAAAATGGTCTTGTGTTTCCTCCATCTAGGACAAGTCTTTGAGACCTGACAGAACACTTTCAAGCTCACATGCTGTGTCCTCATGCTCAGCAGCTCCGCTCCTGTGTCCTCCTATTCCAGGCACATCCACGGAGAAGGGGGACTAGTTGGGGAAGCCAAACAGAGGTCAGTAGTTCAGATGCTGACCTTGAGGAGGACACACATAATAGGTAACAATACAGAACAAATGAAAGGACTGGTTTTCTTTCACCTAAAATTTTTCATAGTAAGTGGATTTTGGAGATTAAATAACCTGGAACATAAGTCAGAGTTTGATATTTCCAAATTTGACCTCTGTTGTATAAGGGATTTTCATAAATAGCAATTCCATCAACAAATATTGTATTTTTTGTTGCTCTTCAGAGAATTATTTGAGTTAAATCCACTGGACACAAGAACTTAGAATAGGGCAATAACTGTGCTCTGTATTGGAGTTGCATTGGATAGTACTCTTAGGAGACAGTCTATAAAGAATCATACTTTAATTTGCTTGACTTGGTAAAATTAACACTCATCAGTGAATACATCTATATATGGATAGACCTATAAGCAATTCCTTTAAATCACTCTTCAGTTACAGCTTAGATTGAAATTTGTCTACTGTTAATTAAGGCAGCTGCTTATTTGGCTATACTACAAGTTTTATTACCAATATTGAAGCACACAGTATAACCAGCTTTCAAATTACAGAGTCCCTCAGAGACCTTAATTCTCATATCTAGATTTACATTAGTTTGACTTAAAGCTTTGGCTGCTTCATCATCAGCTTTTGGCTCAGGCGTACCCTTTGGTTATGATCTTCTGCTAAGAATCCTGTCCCTAAAGGGATTGGGTTACACGGCAAGCTTTCCTAAGAAGAACTCCCTAGCCAGCCATGTTATCTGCCTGTGGGTACCACGGAATACAGCTTCAATCTGCTATATGTCCTTCACTTTTTCCTGAACTTTCTTGTTTTTTGCGGCCTCACATAATCCCATTGTTAAAGTATGTAGGATCTCAGGTCGCTGAAGAAACAGAAAATTAAAGCAAAAGATTTTAGTTTTGTTTCTTGGTCTCCAGTTAGGTGCCCTTGGCCAGAGCCCTCCCTCCCTTCTTGTGGAACTGTCATCAGAATTGTTCCATTCTGGAACATTTACTGGACTACAGTTTTTGATAGGTGGTATTGTGATGCCTTAACAGACATATAACAATTCTTCACACTTCTTTCTCTCTTATATATCTATTTCTCTTATATTTCTCTCATATATCTATTTCTTATAATTGTACCCTCTTATATTTTTATCTCTTATATCTCTTTTATATATCTATTTTATTTCAATGTGATAAGTAAGTCTAGGTGAGCGCCTTTTTCCTGGACAAGATTAACATGCTAGTTATCATTTGTGTGTCAATTTGAAGGTCCTAAGCCTCCGTCTTTATGTCAGCCTTTACAAGAGCTCCAACATGGGCTATGAGGCTTTTGCCCATAATTACCAAAGTGGAACTTTGCTTTATATGCTACTAGATTCCTTATTAGTGATATTTAAACTGAAATCTTACAAGGAGGATGTGTAATTAACAAAGCAGGACCTGGGAATCATAATGTCATGAACATTCTGTCCTCTGTAGTCATCTAACAACTGAAAAGAGATCACACCTTTATGGGGAATAGAAAGTGCTATCTCTGGAAGGCAAGAGCACATGGCATTGAGGCAGAGGTTACATGGTACCCAGCCCTTTATCTACAAACAAGATATCAATATATAGTCATAGGCACTCAGCCATAGATCCAACAATATTCAATGTGTTTTTTAAATTGTCTGGCAGATGAATTTTCTCACTGTGACAAATTTAGCTGTGTTTGTTTGGTGAGCTTTCACCCTGGACATTATCACACCATCATGGTCAACAAGATCTAAGGCTATTTTGAATACTAAGATTACCCCTGCTATAGACCACATTCCCAAAACACCAAACCAAATAGCACAAGACTAAAGAGCTATGGGAGTCAGACAAGATTGGTTTTAAGCCCCAGATTCCCTGCCTGCTTAATGTTGGACCTTGCTCACCTCATCTTATTAAACATGAGATGGTTTAGAAGGGTAATCGAGATAATGCACACAAAGCAATTTGCTGCAATATCTGATGTAGTTAGAATGCAATGAGTCATGTTTTCTTTCAAGTAATGTTTGTGCAGAGACCTTCTACAACTAGAAAGTGCCTTTGTTTTACTGGCAATGTGCATTGGTCTTGGAACCAGTTCAAGTAAGTGTTTGACATGGCTGTCAATGGTCCCTCACCTCTCATCACCTTTACTCCACCCTCCACCTACTTGGGAGCTGGAAGTTCTAAGTCTGAGCCTCATGGATCTATGCCAAGTCAGACCTGTTGCTTCCTCATCACTGGCAAAAAAGCGTGCTCTGACAGGCAATTGCTTATGTGCATGGAAAAGGTTCTTATTTATGCAGCAGAAATATTATCCTCTGAATTGCAAAAAAGGGCCAAGATCTTGTCACCAGGTTTAGAAAATGAAAGCACATTTTGATACAGTTTTATAATCTAGGAAAGAAAGAAACATTGCTACAGTGCCGTTTATAGCAAAGAATGAAATTCTGCTACAGTGCCATTTATAAGTTTGGGAATTATATTTTGAATTTACTGTGCCCCTGCTCAGGTATTAGGATGGCTAACTGAGGACTTTGTGTGTGCCATTTGCTAGGTTTTTAATATTTTGCTTCTTTTGAACATGTTACCTCATTTATAGGATCTTCTAACTTCTCACATCCAGCTTATATATTATTTCCCCTGAAAATTTAAGTTCTAGGAAGTGAATTAAAATGTCATATCCTGTGTAACAAGACATTATAGCTAAGTTTTGTGTCAGCTATGTTTGAGTGGTGAGTACTAGAGATAGCTCCTAATTGCATATTTTGGTGGAATTGTGAACTTGACATTTAATTACCCTCTTAGGCATCCTCTGGTTTTATTAAAAACCAGCTGAGTCCCAATTCTGATAGTGTCCTACAGCTCCAGAAGATCTGATGGGCTAAAAACATACAGAGCCATTCTGACAAAGGCTGAGGGTCTTGTTAATGCTGAAGTGAATCTAATATTCTATATAACTAGTAAACTTGTTTACTGAATATTCACTCTGAAATTAGTATAGCAAATGCTGCAGATACTGTTGTAAAGTACAATAAAGTCAATGCCTTCAGGTAGTTTACAATCTAATAGAACAAAAGATAATATTAAATATACTCATTGAAGTATACACTATGGTATATTAAGTGCCTGTTAGAATATTCAGTAACAGTTTTAATAAAATTCAAAGCAAAATATTATCAATGAAGGGGAAAATGTCTTTGTGGGAACTTGTGTCCCCAACTTTACCTTGTCTTTAGGACTTGTTGTTAATGATCCCTGTACCAATCTCACTGACTCTTTTGGGATGGGCAAGAAGAATTCATGTAGGGAATTCAAGTGCAGTACAACATTGATAATGTCAATCTCATACAGAAAAAAATCCCAGTTTCCATCATAGTCTGTGACAAATCTAAAATGAGGTGAAAATAAAACCAGTTTGAGAAGACTAGAAGACAAAAACAAAAATGATCTGTAATCTGGTCATCTGGTCTGTTAGAGCCATACCTCATATGTTTTCTGACAGTGACCCCTTTAACTAGCTCCTTTTACATCTCCCCCAGCTAACTTTCTTTTCACATGCAAAAGAATATTTTGACACTTCTGAGTTCAGATCCCCAAGGGGCTCCTTTTGCTGCCTAATTCTCAGGCCTTCCAATTCTGTCTTCCTAAGTTTCCTTAGAGTTTTGGCTGCTTCTCAAGTCTTGACATAGTGTCCACTTCTTGAGGATGGACCTACCTCTATGCATGTGTTACTACCATTACTGTTACCTGTCGTGTTAAGGCTGCTACTATCAATGATGATAATAACTATCACCAGTTACTCAGCACTAATGTCAGTCATCGTAGTAAGTCCTCTACATTAATCATTTTATCTCATCCTCACTACAACTACATAGTGATACTAAGCATTAGGCCAGTCAAGTAACTGATCCAAAGTCAGGAAGTATGAGAACTGGATTTTTCTCATACGTCTGTCAGATTCCATATCTAATGCTCTTAACCATTACATAATCCTATGCTTTTGAAGCTATACCTCATAACATGGAGACAGTTTTGTCAAAGATTCTATATCAAGGAACACTGACCATATATAAGGTAACTTAGGTTGGTGATTGGTTTTATTAAAGTGCAAAGATAAGACAGTCATTATGCCAGACATATATATGTACAATAATTTGTGTGTGTGTGTATATAAATTGGTACCTAAACATGTTTTTCTTTATCTTGGATGGTGGGTGCCATCTTTGATTAAGGTTACTGATGATGATTTGATAGTCCCAGACATTTTCGAGTAAGTATGCCTGAGCCAGGTGAAAATCAGACATTGGAAAAGATGAGTCCTTATTGACCTCTTGTTACTCTCAAGTCTCAAGTAAGGAGGTATAATTATGCTCATGCTCAGATCCTGACATCAAGTTTTGGTTTCCAATGACTCTTGTCAAATTCCTCTGATTATAGGTTTTCTTGCTTGTCTCAGCCTTCTTAGTTGTGCTTGGCTTGCCCCCACGTAACCTGCCATTATCACCACCAGAATAGAAATACTACCTCCTTAGACACACTGAAACATTCATATTTATAAATTAAAGGTCTTTACTTCCCATGGTAATAGTCATTTTTTTATTCTTTCCACAAATTCAGAAAATATCTCATCAAACTATCCAAATAATAGGTTGGATGTTCTCACCAGTTTATTAATCAAAAAGTATAGGCCATGTACTATGCTAGGTGTTAAAGAAAAAAAAAAAGCTTTATGTCCAGGAATTGTCCAGGTAGTGAGAGAGACAATTATACATCACCTCATATCCACAGAACACCTTCAGTGATAAGAGAGAGGGACATAGGTACTCTGTGAGCTCAGGGAAGTGGCATTTACAGCAACTGCACGTGCAGAAATTCCTGCTCTCTATGAAAGTAGAAATTTTCAGCACATAGTTAAACAGTAGCTACCTTTTGCCAGACCCTGCATTCACCAACAGCTGGAAAGATGACACATATAATTGTAGTGGCCATCAAATGAAAGTCTTCACAAATGCAATAACTATGTATCCTATACATACATACTTTCATGATGATCATTTTCACGGTGTTAGTTTCAAGGTTGTCCTCATGTAAGCTAAAATTATGTTTAGAATTTTTACTCCAAGAGTAAATTCTAAGAGTAAATCCTAAGATCCTTGATTTCTCAGCCGGTTTTCGCAACATGAAACATCTTCAATGGAGTTGTTTAGAGATTAGAGATTTTTTTAAAAAATCAAGTGTAAGTTCTCCTGGGAATACTGGTAAGAAGCAGAAATCATGACAAGTGCTTAATCTGGGGCAGACCCTGTGCTAAACATTTTTAAGTAATTGCTCATGGAGTCTCATAGTGTTTTGAGATAGGCACTAAAATTCTACCCCTTGATGGCTCACAATTCCCTTGAGGGCTAGCAACATAAAACAGAGGTTCAAGGAAGTGCAGGAATAGCCCAGAGTCTCACATCGTGAGTCAGGATGCAAATCCACAGTGATTCGTGTCAGAAGAACTGGGCCCAACTGGCATAAGTAGAGATTGAAAGGAAGTCACTGATAGCAGAAAACTTTCCAAGTATAAACATACATCAAAAAGGGAACACTGGGGCTAGAAATTTAGCTCAGTAGTGGAATGCTTGTCTAGCAAGCGGGAGGGCCTGGGTTCAGTACTCAGCATCAAAAAATTTAAAAAAACTAAAGAAAAAGCAAAAGGAAAAACTGACAAAAATAAAAAATAAAAATAAAAACCAAGACAATTGGCACAGAAAAAGGGAACATTGTGGCTGCAGGAGTTTGAGAAGCGTGCAAATTACATCTTACCTAGAATTTTGGCAATCTTTTTTTTTGGTTTTTCTCCGGTACCAGGAACCAAACTCACGACCTTGCGCTTGCCAGGCAGGCGCTTTTGCCACTGAGCTAAATCCCCAGCCCAATTTTGGCAATCTTGAACCTTCCTCACACTACCCTCCCGACGCGTCTCCTAACCTTGACACGCACAACTTTGTGGGGACTTGAAATTTAACTTAATCTTCCACTTGAGAAATTTCAAAACTGGCACACACTAGATTCATACTAGGCAAAGGCCCAATTTCTCCCTCCTCATACAGCAGGCACACTGGGGACTCTAAATTGCAGGAAATGATTATCTGTATCATTTACATCAAAGGGACTATCTTTAAAACCTAGCTGTAGAGAGAACAATTACTGAAGCAGCTGCCAAGGAAGGACCCTCTGCCAACTGGAGGTTTCTAGGACGCAAGGACAGTGGTTGTGGGAACTGTGGTAGGCACTGTGTCGGCATAGTTATGTGCTCTTCAAGACCCCAGCGCCCCCCTAGGGAATGACTAGCCCTTGATACAAAGCAAAAGCTCTCACCACAGTCTAGAAACTGGATCAAACAACCTGCATTCCACTCTACATTCTTCACCTAATTAGTATGTGCTTTAGAAATCTGTTCTTTCAGAAATTCCTGTCTATAGGAGAAGAGAAGAGTTACATGACCACTAAGGCTTTTTCCTACTGTAAATGAATGATTCTTTAACAAATCCTTTTAACTAACATATGGGCAGAAATCCACAGAGAGTACAAGAAATTCTACTCTGAGATGAGGAACAAAAAAAACAAGTAAACTATAACCATGTCCCTAGAGAGTGGATTTATTTTAAGAGCTGTTAGAAATACTAAAGTGATGAGGTCATAAAATGATTACTGTAATGTTACCATTTCAGCCATTGTCTCCTTGGACCTCGTACTCTTTTCTAAAAGTATTAAATATATATATATAGACTGGGGGGGTGTAACTCAGTGGTAGCACACATGCTTAGCATGCATGAAGCCCTGAGTTCAATCATTTGCACCAAAATATTAAAAAATAAAATATACTCCATCACTGAAACAAAAATGTAGAGCATAAGCCAGGAATGTATATCATTATTTCTGCCTCACATTGGGGTTGTCAGGGCCCAGCTAATAAATATATGATCAATGAGTAACAGCATTTAAGAACACGTTCGTTGTAATGAAAATTGAGTAACAGCTATTATACTAAGGATTTTCTGTGCACCAGATATTTTCAATGCATTATCTTTTCAGATGGTACTTAATGTTTATAACAGTCCTCAGAGCTAAGTATTTTTGAACTTACTTTATAGATAAGAAATATAAAGTGTGGAGAATAAAATAGCTTGCAAAATTCACACCAATCATCTGAATTCATCTGACTTCAAACTCACATATTTAACCACATCATTATTTTTCTTCTCTGGTCACTCTTTCTGCATCCTATTGTGATTAAAGATCTCTTAGCTTTTAATCTTTCTTGTGACCTTTTAGACATGTATTTAAGATCATTTGTTGAACTATCATCTGTAGACTCTCTCAGTTTCTCTCATTGTATTAGGGACAATGATCATTATAGTTTGCTCTGGATCCTCAAAAGTAACGACAGGTTGGCAGTGGTTTTCACAGTCATAGGTGATGCTCTACCTCTACAGGCACTTTATACTGCTCACTCCTTTGGTTGTGATAGCTGTTAGAACACACTGACTTTTGGGCTAGAACTCTGGTACTAATGCACACACTGCCCTCCTTTCTGAACCTGTTATTGCCTTTGAAATAATTCTGTAAAGATCTCCTTTCATCAGTATCACCAAAATTAATAATTGGTTAAGGAGCAGTTCTCATGGCAGGACGATTAGCACACGTGACTTGTTCCATTTGCAGCATGCCTCTCCTATGTATGCTCTCAGCATTCATCATTTCTCTGTCTCCTCACATGCATTAAACTTATTTTATGGCCCAAGTCCAATAGCACTTGCTATATCTATGATTATCCACTGCAGAAGAAGGTTTGCCTCCTCCTGGTTGTCCCTCTTGACAAGTTTTCTATTTCTTGCTGTTTAATAGGATTCTGTCAAAGTCCCTCTCCTTTGTTGCCACCCTAAACTAGTGTTAAAATATTTATTCCATCTTTTACTCTTTCAGGGTTAGAAGAGTAGCATCTTTTGCTGTCCCTGTGTCAACCTTAATTCTGCTTTTTGCATAGGTCTTCTCAGCGCTACCTTCCCTCTCCTCTGGATGTAAGTAAATTTTAGGCTGTTGACATATTTACCAAGTATTTTTAACCTAAAACTTATTTTTTTAAAGTTTCAAGAGCTCTAAAAACAACATGAGCCTGGAAGAGATATGTATTATGTTCCTATGTGCACTCGTCTAAGGGCTTTTATAGATCAAGCAAAATTCTAAAATCTTAGATGTAGATGTAAACTGCTTGAAAGGGAGGAGATTGTAAAGAGGATCTTGTTTGGTTTTTCCACTGCAGAGTTATAGACACATGGAATTCTGTGGTAACGAGAGTGGGAGTGCTTAGCTAATTCAGATATTTCAAGAAACACAAAGGAAATTATATTTTATCTACAATAACTCTGTCTAATACAATAGACACTTCTAGTTACATTGATTTGTGTAAGAATTAAACAGAGTCAATGCTGGTAATGATAGATGTCTATTATATTGAGCATTTTTTGTCAAGCTGTTGGTAACTTTCTATATTTTATTATATTTAATCTTTGAGTACAAAATCATTTCTGCATGACAGAATGGAGGCCTTGGAAAATAACTCCTAATATTGTCCATACTAAACATATTAAAGAGCCAGGATCTGAACTGCTTATGCCATTGAAGATGGAAGGAAGGAGTCCTGTCTTTTTCAGGTTCTTATTGTCGGCTACATATATTTGGATTAATAAAAACAGCAAAATATAATATCAATATGTATATCTTGCTTGGTACTTAAACTGTATTTCTCAACCCGGGATGATTTTGCCTTCCAGGGGACATTCAGCAGTGCCCAGGGACACTTTTGCTTGACACAAATGAGGATGCTATTACCATCCTGCAGCAGAGAGCACAGCCTCCACAAGAAGTAATTATCTGGTCCAAAACATCAATAGTGCCATTGGTGGGAAACACTGCTTTAGGCCTGGTTTATAGATTCATGGGAGGAAATTTTTTTAAATAAAAGAATTCTCTCTGATGAAAATGCTGAAACCCATTGACTGTGCTTAGCCAGAATGTAATAATTAATCGACAATTATTTGTTGGATACATGAATTTCTATCTTTAAGGAGGAAAACTGGTTTTTCCCCCTTAGCTTCACTTCACTTTGTGGTATTAATTGCCTCCCTGCCGTGCTGTCGAACTTCACCATGCAACACCCAGAAGCTTCAAAAACACACATGCTAGGACTCCAATGTTAGTTTTTTTACTTCATGAGGTCTGACATGGGGCCTGAGATCCCACATTTCTAACAAACTCAGGAGAGGCTGCTGCAAGCCCGTGGACCACAAATGAGTATCAAGTCAGCTCACCTGCTCTTCTGGAGGCTTCCTCTACCCTCCTACAGGGAGCACCCGAGTATACAGGCCACAGCTGCTGGACCCTTCTGCCTTCCATACCCTGGCATTAACTCTGCCTTTTCGGAAAAGGGAACAGCCACAGATTCTTTCTCTAAATAGCCAACATGTTCACAAGACTTTTTGATGACTTTTGAGAGAGAAGAAATCTATCACACTGCTCTGAATGTTTTTTTAAAAGTTATTTCTACCCCCAATTGTTCCAAAATTCTTTTCTTCATATTTTATTTTATCTTTCACAGCTTGGCAGGATGCACACATTAAAAAAATCAAATTTCCTTCCATTCTACTCATGTGCTTTCTAAAACAGGCACAGCACAATATTTGACAATGTTTTGTGTGTGCATGGGGCCGCCCGCCTAGTGTGCCTCCTGTGTTGTATGAATCAGGAAAAAGATTCATGACCACATTCTTCAATTTTTTGCATTCAACAGGCTATCTACTTAGCCCTTGTGATCGGCACATCTTTCTTGTTTCTCATGTCAGAGAGGGACTCTGAGATCTCTGGCTTGGCTTTGCACTTTCTATTTTACGTAGTCCTACTTGAAGATATATATTTTCTACACTTGTGTAGGACTTAATTATCATTCAGTGCTTCCTCTGAACCTCCATTCAAATTCCCTTCCATCTGAGCACTTTGTTCACTTTAAGTGTTAGGTACAGCTCACACCCATCATCTACATTCCTCCTCTGTAGGTTACCCCGTGATGCTCTCTCCACACTTTCCCATTTCCTTCTCTGCAGCACAGACAATATGCACTTTTGTATGGGAGGTCTCTCTCTCCCTCTCTCTCTCCCTCTCTCTTTGTCTCTCTCTCTCTCTCTCTCTCTCTCTCTCTCTCTCTCTCTCTCTCTCTCTCTCTCTCTCAATTTAAGGCTATACATATTTTCTAAACATAGGGTTGTAATGAAGATTAAAAGAAATAATGAATACAAAGCCCATAGTCCTCAATACATGTAAGTTTACCAATACTGTTATTCCTAGATAACATGTATTTCCCAAACACCTGACATCCTTTGCCCTCCTCTTTTTCCATCATGAAGCCCTCCCCACTGTGACAGCCTTCCCTGCTTCCACCACAGATGTTCCGTTAGAATAGTTCACTTCCACTTGCTTTCCAGGCCTTCAGCAGACCTAAACTGACCATCTCGCTTTACTAAAATATGCTCTTGGGCAGTTTGCATAAATACACATTTCTCACCCATATATTGAATTAAATTCACTTTTTATTAGGGCACAGAATATTGGACAAAAACATGTTCTTTAGTGCCACAACAATTTTGTGAATGACTTTTCTGGGCTGTATTTAGGTCACTTTGAGTTGTGTCCTGTATTCATCTTTGTCTCTGAATGAAAAATGTCAACATTATTCTTTATTGGGTTTTATCTCATATGTATCCAAAGGAAGTTTTTATTGGAACTGGAATTGCAAATATATCTCAAACACACTGTGGTGAGGTGATTGCTTTTTGGTGCCTAACTCCACACCTTGTCATGGACTCCACAGTGAGGGTGGGTGTGGCCACCTTTCCACAGGCCAATGGGTAAGTGGAAACCATGACGCAGAGAACCAAGAAGCTCTTAAGCACTGGGTGTTTGTTGTCTTACTTCACTTGGAATTCTGTGCCTCCTGTAAGAACAAGCCCAGTCAAGCCTTCTAGAGCATGAAAGGTCACAGAGTTCATGTAGCCATTGATGAAAACATCATTAACCTCCCAGGAACCAGCCAGCCAAGCCTGGCCAGGCTACCAACCAGCCGCAAACTCAGGGGGAGTCTAGTCAGGGTAAGCCAAGGCCAGACAAGACCACACTTCTTACCCTCAGAATTAAGAGCTAAATAAGTGGTCACCATTTTGAACCCTTAAATTTTGGAGTAGTTCCTCGGGTGCCAAAAGTTAACCATTAAGCACACTTGAACCAAATGGCACTGTTCATATGGACTGTTTTATTCCATGGGAGTTGGGGAGGGGGCCTATCTTTGGCATAGTCTGTGTATCACCACTTTTTCTTTACCATCACTCAGGGTACTTATTTCAAAATAAAATTCTTTATCAGCTGCTCTACATTAATTCTTTTCTTTTATAAATAAAAGGACAAGTTCTTGAAAACTACAACCAACTCAATAAGAAATAGAAAAAACAAAAACTGTTATATATTTTCAACAAATTGCTGTGATAATTTAAAAACTATTGAGGGAAAACCTGTAGGCCCAGGTGACTTCATTAATGAGTTCTTTCGAATATTTAAGAAAAAAGTCCATCATGCATAAACTGAATCCAGAGAACAGGAAAAAAGGAAAGACTTCTCAAAAACTTTTCAAAGATTAACACTTTATCAGAATATTATTTTTAAAAGCCTTATGAAATGGGAAAATTGGGGCCGGGGATATAGCTCAGTTGGCACAAGTGCCTGCTTAGCAAGCTCAAGGTCCTGCGTTCTATTCCCAGTACCAAAAACAAAACAAACAAACAAATAAAATGGGAAAATTAGTGGCCAATACCTTTCTTTAATATAACACACAAATTTAATATAAAATATCAGGAAAAAGCATCTGATAATATACTTAAAAGGATAATATAACACAATTAAGTTGGATTTATCCCAGTAATGAAAAGTTGGTTTAATATTCAAAATTAATATAACGTTAACATAATAAAAACTATTATCAACCCATACTTGCAGGTATAATCTAATAAAATTCAATACTCCTTTATGTTCAAAGTGCTAATCAAGGTAGAAAGAGAGGGGAACTTCTAAAATTAAGTATAAACTACCAAAAAAAGCCACAACAAGTACTATATCACTCTAAATAGTGAAATAGTGAAAGATTTTCCCCTCAAGTAGAAGAAAACAATGTTTGTGGCTAAGAAGGTACTTCGATGGTAAAACACTTGCCATCATGTGTAAGGCCTAAGGCTACATCTTCAGCACTGAAAAAAAAGGAGGGGTAAAAATAACCACTTCTCTTCAACATCGCGTAAGAGGATCTAGCCAGGACAATTAAGGAGAGAAGGGAATAAGGCTTAAAGATGGTAGAGCAATACATAAAACCTTCATTATTTGTGATTGAAACATTTACACATCTACAAAATACAACAAAATCTGATAAACTACTACGAACAAGTGAATTCAACCTCTGGATGCAATGCAATATTTAAAAATAAATGATAATTCTATATCACAGCAAAAAGTATTTTAAATGTTTTAAGTAGCATTAATAATATCAAAAAAGAGATATACCATATTCATAAAGACTCAATATTGTGGAAATGTCAATCTTTCTCAAACTGTACTTAAGATTCAGCACAAATCTAATTAAAATCATAATAAGATTTTAATGGCAATTGCCCAAGTGAAGATGTGTGGAAATTTTAAGAGCCAAGCATAGCAGAGCCAATAAAAGAATTACTTTAAAGGATATATATGCTACTAGTGCTAAGACTAATTGTGCATCTTAGTAATTAAAACCACCATAATAAAAGACAAAGCATGCAAAACAAAACAAACAAAATGGAATAAAAGAAAGTGTCTAGACTTAGAGCCACACATACATAATCATTTAAATTAAGACAAAATTACTACTGCAGTGAAACAGGGTCTGCAATATACATGATGCTTAATTGATTGTCCATTTAGTAAATTATATTAAACTCTACTGCACATGACATAAAAAAGTCTAATCAGATGGGTCATAGATCTAACGGTAAAAGGTCAAACAGTGATGTTTTTAGAATATACTGTAACAAATATATTTTCATGACCTTGGAGAAAGCAAAATTTCCTTAAGTAGAACATTAAGTATGAAAGACATTAAAAGAAAATCTTGACATATTTGAACTGCATTAAAATTAAGATTTTTTTAGAAAAAACTCTAAAAATACATAAAGTAAAAATAACATAAAGAACTCTCACAATAAGGCAGAAAAGTGTATTTAGAAAGATAAGAGAGAGAAGAAGATAGAGAAAAGCATCTCACAAGAGGTTATATGAACTTCCAGAATGCATATGAAAAGGTGATCACCTTATAATTATTTCCAGTGAAGTACAAATTTATCACCATTGAGCCACCACTGTACACCTACAAGAATGATAATGTACTAACAACAGTGAGTGTTACCAAGGATGTGGATCAATTGGATTCTCAAGAAATGCTGATGGAAGTATAAATTGGCACTTTAGAAAACTTCCTGAAAGTTTTCACTAAAGCATTATTTGTGGCCTATTATTCTATTTCTAGGTACAAAGTCAAAATAAATGCTTAGGTATGTGCACAAAATAACATACAAGAATTTTACAAAGTAATAACTTAAAAATAAAAACAACGCAAATTTTCATGAAAAATAATTATGTGAATACAATGGACTATGGTTACTCATAGCAACATGAAAGAATCATAAACATACTGTGAAATTTAGGAACTCAGACATAGTGAATATATGATTCCATTTATAGAAAGTTCAAAGCAGACAAAATTAATATTTGGAGCTAGATATCAAATAGCAGATATATTTGAGAGTTTACAATAACTGTATGGGAGAACAAAGAAGGTATTGTGAATGTTCTT